TAAATTCATTCATACATTAATCATGTATTGAGTCTCCCATATGTTTCAAACTCCTATGTATTAAAAACCGCCCTGTATGTAGGCTCGCTTCCCGGGCATCGTGCCGAGACGAGCTCTGGCGCCCCTGGCCCGCTTTTTTCCACCCGGAGTCGCCTCTGGACTCGAAAAGAAAACCGCCATAAACATAAATGTTTGGCGCTCCGCGCGGATTTCTTGGATCTGCGCTGGACCCCCCTCCCTGGCGCGCGGAGCGCGCCAGGGGCGGCGCCGGAGGCGCCGCCAGGGGGGGTCCCAGCGCAGATCCAAACACTCCGCGAGGAGCGCCACAAGTTTATGTTTGTGGCGCGTCTTTTGGTTTCTTCTTCCATGGACGGCCCCGCGGCCTAGCGAGGGCGCCCGGGAGGCCGCAGGCGCAGAAGACCGCCAGGTCGGCGCCTGCGCAGGTCTGGGCTCGCCGCCCCCCCCCCCCCCCCTGGATCGGACAGGCGGGCGCGGCGCCCCCGCCCCCGCCCCCGGTGCGCGCCCGAGCATTTCCTCTGCGGGTGGAGGGCACAGGGTGGACTCTGAGCTGCCGTTTCTCGCTCGGTTCTTGAGGCTCGAGGCTGCAGGAGTCGGGGGTGGGCAGAAGCCCCCCCCCCCCCCCCCTGGCACGTCGATCAGTGAAGTGCCCGTTCTCGGTCCTCGAGAGGGCGCCGCGGCCGTGATTTTCCAGGCGTGTGCCCGCCAGGTTTGGGCCCGAGGTCGGTTTCACGAAACCACGCTTTTCTAAAGGGGGCTCTGCCCATCCCCGAAGAAGGTGCATTACAAGACGGACTGATTTTCGAGGTCACCCTGAGCCCTCCATCCTGAGAAACTGCTCAGCTCAAGTCGGGCCTGTCCCCCCACAGGGGGATTTTCGACGAAAAAATGAAAAATAATTACCACAGAAAGGGTCAAAGCATAAAAATCGGCTGGGGACTATTTTGGGGGTATGTTTTGACCTTGTGGGGGCATTTTCGGATTATGTTTTATTTTTTTCGTCGAAAATATCCCCTGTAGGGGTTCACGCCCGACATAAGGCATGTTTTGGCTTTTTTGGTGTATTATATATATATATATATACATACATACATACATACATGCATACATGCGTACATACATACATACATACATACATACATACATACATACATACATACATACATACATACATACATACATACATACATACAAACACACATACATATATATATATATATATATATATATATATATATTATATATATATATCCAGCGCACGAGCCACATATATATATATATATATATACACTCGTCGAAAATATCCCCCTGCAGGGGGGACACGCCCGACAAAAATGCTCCGCGCGCGCGGCCCGCCGAGGCCCCGGCCCCCCTGGGCTCTCGGGGGCAGCCCTCCGCCTCCCGGGGCCGCTCCTGCGCGGGCAGGGCCCCCGGGTCGCCCAGGCCCGCCCCATCGGAAGGTCGGGGGCGGCAAAGAGGGGGGCGATGCCTACCCTGACCTTCCAGGAGGGCTAAAAACAGAACGCCCGACTCAAAAACTTGTCCCGAAGCTGATATGCGTCTTGGTCTGAGGCTGCTGCGCGAAGCTGTTTCGGTTTTTAGGCCTCCGGTGCTAGAACGTAGCTCTCTGGAAGGTCAGGGTAGGGGGGGGGAGGTGGATGACTAGGGGGGGGTGGATATGGCCTCCTACTCTGACCCGTCGATTAGTGAATTGGCCGTTCTCGGTTCGCGAGAGGGCGTCGCGGCCGTCATTTTTGCGGGTCCAGGTCCGTCGGTTTCGGTCCCAGGCCGTTTTCATTAAGAGGAGGTTTACTAAAGGGAGGTTTGACCACCGCCGAAGTAGGGGGGGGGATATCATGGCGGGGGCCATGATATCTCTCCAGATTTCATGGCGCCTCTTCTTGTTTCATTGCGTCCCTGGTCCCCCCGCTGGGCCGCGCACGTGCCGCCGGTCATGATTTGCGCCCGCCCCCTCTTGGACGCCCCCCTCTTGGCCGCTCCCCACCCTCGGAAGGGGTCCAGACCTCTGGGGCTCGACGTTCTGGAAAAGAAATCGCGACGTCGGGGGTCTGGATAACGCCAGGCTGGGGTCCGAGCAGATGTGGTCGGAGGGTCGCGCCGCCGCGTCGCCGATGCATCGGCGATAGCCCGATTTCGCCACGCCGATGCATCGCCGATGCATCGCCGATGCGTCTTCGATGCGCCGGCGACACACTGGCGGTTCGGTGCAATCTTTCGACCCCTCTACTCGGACCCCATCTATATATCGGAGGCGCCTAATAATAGCAAGCCCCGAAGGCCAAAGTCGAGGAGAGATGCCCAGGTTGACAGCATCGTACACGGTCGAATACCTGGCGTCGACGTCCCCCATGGGTCCTGGAGGCTGCTATCGGGGAGAAGCGCCCGGATCGACAAGAAGTAGCCTCCTCGGAGACCCCGCGTGGACGCGCCCCCACGGGCCCCGCGGTCCGAACTCGAGAAAACAAACGCCCCGATCGGCACAAGAGCGTGCCGTCGGAGACCTGGCGTTGACGAGTGACGACCCCCCCCCTCGGCGACTACACGGGGCGTGATTGCGCCGGGGTGTGCTTCGTGATCGGCGCCGTTGGGGCTCAGGGCGTCGCCACGATTCAGCGAGCGAAGAACGGTACAAAATAAACTTTTTCGCCGTCGGGGACACCTGCCCCTGGGCGGCTGGAAAGTTTATGCCCCTACGGTGCCGCCGTAAGGGTGTAAACTTTCCAGCCGCCCTGGGGCAGGTGTCCCCGACGGCGAAAAAGTGTATGTTATACCGTTCTTCACCCGTCAAACGATGCCCCAACGGTTGGACGAGCCCTCGTCGGGGCGCGGGCCCGAGATCTCTGTCGAGGTCCTCGCCCGTCCGCCCTCCCCCTCCCAGGGCGCGCCCTGCACGCCACGCCCTCCGCAGACCGCGCCCCTCGCCCGCGCAGGCAGCCCCGGAGGAGCACGAGGAGGGCGGGGCCGGGCCGCCCGGCGCGGCGTGCCGCAGCGGCGGCGCCGAGCAGGGCGGCACAGGCTCCGCAGCACAGTCTTCCTGAACACATCAGAAGGAGGGTAGAGTTATGAGGAGGATGGGGTGCGGAGGAGCAAATAGTTTCATGTCTGCCCCCCAGACGTCCTGTTTCATTCCCTGCTTTCTCCGTTTCGCATTGGTTATGACAGATCAACGGGCAGGATACTATAGGTCCCCGTCCCACCATGTTCCTCTTTTTCGCACGTGCTCGGCTCAGTGTTCGACCCACTCGTCCAGGCTCGTGTGCGACTTCTCCAGAGCGACATGGTCTGAAGTGGGTCCACTCTCAATTGTTTCGACGCCCTTCTTTCGGCTGGGCGTCCGACCAGCTTATGTGTGCTCGCCAAGCTCAGAGTCTGACTTGTCCGTTCTTCGCTTGTCGCGCATAGACACGGGAAACGAGTTGGAGATGTTAGATTTGTGTCCCAACCTCTTCCCGCCCTTTATTTCCATCATCCATCCATCCCGCTCCTCCTCCTCCTCCTCCTCCTCCTCCCTCCTCCTCCTCCTCCGCCCCCTCCTCCTCCTCCTCCTCCGCCTCCTCCTCCTCCTCCAGAGCAGTCCATCCAGACGTCGATGCGCTCCCGAGCGGCGGCGAAGCCAGAAGGTTAGCGGAAGGCAATAACTTCGCAGACTGGTTGGCTAAGGCCGCCGCACATATAGGAGCCCACCCTAGTTCTGCGGAGTGTACCAGCTATTCCGAAGGTCGGACGCTTGTGAAGCAGTATTTGCTGAAAGCGGCGGAGGCGCTGGCAGAGTGGCCAGTTGTATCCCCGATTCGTTTGTCGTCGTCGTCGACGAAGATCAAAGGTCTGGCCGCCTTTGCTAAGAGCCTCTCGCCTCCTTCGGGTGCTGCCTCGGCCCTTGCTTCTTGGGGGCCCGTTTCCTCCTCGGGGCCTGTCCCTCAGGACACGCCCCAGCCTCTTGAGCCCCCCTCGGAGCCCCGTATGACCCACTGCATCACTTCCAGAGCTGGTCATTGGTGGTGCACGAGCTGTCGAACCAGAGCCCTCTCATATAAGCAGTTGCAGGCCCTGCTAAACAAACACTGCTCATGGCACTGTCAGTATTTGTCGGATTTGTTGAGCGACCCGAAGGGCCATGACTTACACCACTAGGAGCACTAAGATATCCCAACCAATTTACTGGTTTGTCACAAGTGCGGTTCCTATGCAGAGTGCGGCGGCAGAGGTTTGTCCAGCTTCTGCGACAGGCGTGCGACTTCCCAGTGTACAGCCACACAGTTGGCCAGATCCCAGGAAGTTCGACGCCCCAAGGGCAACAGAGCTCACCCATCGTGCTCAGATTGCACCCCCCCCTCCCCCCTGTCCCGCTGGCCAGGTTTGTCAGAGAGTGGCGGGGCCGCGGCAAGGTCACCCATCATCCAAGCCGTGCGCGTGTCCTCCTCCAGAGCAGTTGCCCGAGTGCCCGCGCCACGGTGGCCGTGAATTGTATGAGCTCGTATGCAAGTCTGTTTGCCGGGATCCTCTTTGTTCTAAGATGATTGCGCCGCAGTCGGCTTGGGTTTCCTGATGTGGGATCCTCCTCTTCTTCCTCCTCCTCCTCCTCCTCCTCGTCCTCCTCCTCCCTCCCTCCTCCTCCCCCTCCTCCTCCTCCTCCTCCTCCTCCTCCTCCTCCTCCTCCTCCTCCTCCTCCTCCTCCTCTCCTCCTCCTCTCCTCCTCCCTCCCTCCTCCTCCTCCTCCTCCTCCCCTCCCCCCCCCTCCCCTCCCCCTCCCCCTCCTCCCTCCTCCTCCTCTCCTTTTTATCCTCCTCCTCCTCCTCCTCCTCCTCCTCCTCCTCCTCCTCCTCCTCCTCCTGTTCCCTCAAGCAACTTGGGCTCGAGCATTTTGCCTGAGCTCAGCCTCTGGGTTTCCTCGCAGCGCTTGAGGGACACTGTTTCTTCGCCAAAGCCAGAGGCGAACAGACACTGACTCACACAGAGGCACCATGGCAGGAGCAGGAGTCCTACGGAAGCTGTGGAGCAGGTGCAGCCAGTGCCAGACGTGTGAGTGGAACGCAGTTCTACTCAGCCGCCAACTGGCATGCAACAGGTGCGGCAACACTGTTGAGCTGTACCGCGGCAGGAAACGTGGAGTACGCTTCTCGCTGGCCGAGAGCGACGACGAGCACTTCTACGACGTGGCGAGTGACAGCGGGGGCGAGAACGTGCAGCTCCGCAAGCCTGTTCCCCCTGGTTTCCTCAAGAAGGGTACGACTGGCGCAGGCAAAGGGAGCAAGGGTACGTCTGTCCGCGGCCTGCTGCAGCAGGCGCTGGAGGCGGCCAAGGACGACGACGAGTTGAAGCGGGACCTCCAGAACCAGCTCGCGAAGTTGGAAAAAGAGGAGCAGGGCAGTACGGAGCAGCAGCTGTCCCCGGCGGAGGCCCACCGCCGAGCCGACGGGATATGGCGCAATGCGGATCATGTGCATGAGCGGGCGGTCGCCAATGTCGTCCGCCTCCGCAGCAACCTGGCAGCTGCGGAGACGAAGGAGCGGGCGGCGGCGCGCACCTTGGCAGAGGCGGTGGAGGCCAAAAAGGCCGCGGCCACCGCCCTCCCGAGGGCTGAGGGCGCGCAGGACTGTGAGGTGAGCGCACCAGGGGAGCGCGAGAAGAAGATGATTAACGTGGAGTGGGGCGAGGGCCTCTTCTCCAACCTCGACGAACCCGGGGCCACGGAGGGGGAGAAAAAGGCGTTGGAGGAGCTGAAGGGCCAGATGCAGCACGTGAGGTCCCACCTCGAGGGGAAAGAGGCCGAGATCCAGGCCTGGCTCGCCAAGATGGCCGAACACAAAATGACCATCCCGGAGCGGCTGGCCAAGAAGCGGAAGTCCAACGAGGGCAACGAGCAGCCTCAGGCTTCGGAGGCCCCAGGCGAGGCAGCTGGTCCTGCCGCTGGCAGTGGACCGCAGCCCACTGCTGCAGCTCCTGGGCCTGCGCCCCCTGGGAGCAGCGGCGCGCCTGGGGCCAGGGCCGAGGCCGATGGAGCTCGTGAGGAGGCCCTCAAGGCCGAGGCCAACCGGCTTTCGGAGGCGACACTCAAGGCTGCGGTGCAGAGGACCAAGGCTGCTGGGTGAGGGTCTGCAGCGACCGCGGTGACGTCGACGGCAGAGTCGCCCGACAAGGAGTGACATTCAGCAAAATGGACCCCTCGGACCTTGAACGAGGGGCCGTCAGAGGACAGCGGCAGAAGGGACATCGCGACCTTCTACCCCAATGTCACCAGCCTGACGGATAAAGCATGGAAGTTCATATCGGCCAAACCAACAGCGTTTGGCCATTGGGCTATAGTTGAATCGCATATCCACTTGGGCTCTGAGCTTAATTCGCTGGCCAGGGAAGCGAAGAAGGTCAACCTTCGCACTGCAGTCAACCCAGCTCGACGCACGATGCGGCCTGTCTCGATCTCCAACGAGCCGAAGGCCAACGAGGGCGGCGAGGTGTGGTTCAGTCAGAAGCACTTAGAGTGTGGTGTCCTGAGCGAAGCTCGCGCAGCCGCGAAGCACCTGAGAGCGCCAGGCTCGAGTTCGTTGGACGGCTTTCTACCAAAGTTGCTCCGCCAGCAGGGCTATGCCATCGTGGTTATCGTGTTGTACGCTTACCCGAGTATTGGTATGCCAGGACGCAATCGTGAGAGGTTTCGCAGATTGGGTGGTCTCCTGAACTCAATGCCAATGCCATGGGTGTGCACCGGGGACTACAACATGCCGCCAGAAGCGCTGGCCAAGTCCAAGTTCCTGGAGCAAGTCGGAGGTGCCATGGTCGGAACCGCTGATGTCGTGGGCACCTGCGCCAAAAAGAATGGGGACGACAGCGTGCTTGATTACGTTGTAATGAGCCCGTCGGCTGTCTCTTTCGTGAAGGGTGTGGTTCCAGTCAGGGACGTGGCGTGGAGGCCCCACTTAGGCTTAGCCATTGCCCTGCGTGCGTCGGGTCAGCACTTGCAGACCCGCGAGCTGGAGTTGCCGCGCCGTCTACCTCAGCCCCCGAGGCCTCGTGTGGATCCTACAGTCGGGTCCAAATCGAGTGTCGCGAAGGCTAAACAGATAGCTGCACGGCCCTCGGCCCATGAGAAGCGAGTTGAGTTCTTGAGAAGCCATTTGGGAACTGCCTCCAGGAACGCTCTGGACCTCAGGACCCTGCCGATCAGCTGCGCCAGCGGGAGCCTGAGGAGGAACTGGATCCCGAGTGTTTGTTTCACCCGAGCCTCTGGCTGAACCATCGGGCAAGACCCCCCTGGAGCTCCAGCAGGCCAGAGAAAAAGGCAACCGCCGGAGTAGAAGTTCCAGTAATTCGTAGGCGCGTGAAGGCCCCCCCCCCCCCCCGGAACCCCAATGTAATCAGCAGCAGCAGCAAACCGCCAGCATGAGCCCTGAGGCCACGCCTGAGCCCTCGTTTGAAGTTCCCGTGGAGACGTGGACTGAAAGTAGGAACCAGGTTGGGTTTCAATCAGGTGCTTCTGCGGTGGCGGCTGCCTCCCCTTACCTTTCCTCCTCCGCAGCCTCTTCCCTCGAACCTCAGCGCAGCGCACTTGTGTCTGGCATGTATGCTGGCTGGGCTTCAACTGTCGAGAGGGCCACCCATGTGCATCGCGACATTCAGGCCAGCCCTGGAGCGCCGCGTTCAGAAGTCCCGAGGTTCATCTAGCGCCCGTTGCGGACTACCGCGCGCACGCGCCAACATCCGCTCAGGGACCAACGTAGTCAGTGGTGGGCACGGGTACACGCAGTGCTGGGAGGTGCGTCGCACCACTGTTCACGGCAAAATGGGAGGAGGCAACTTGATGAGTATTCCAAGATTTGCGGGCAGCTTCGCGAGTCGAAGCCGCCCAATGTTCACGCGATTATCAATCTACGGAAGGAGCCGCCCCTCGACCAGTGGATCAGCATCCTCAAGAGCCCGTTGACGACGGCGGCCCCTGTCTTGGAATCATTTGTAGAGAGCGCGAAGAGGCTGCAAGCTCGCGCTCAGAGATCGGCAGCGCGGGAAGCCTTGCATCAATTTAAGCAGCGGGTGACGGATCCCAGCGCGAATGGCATTCTTCACAAGGCCCTGAAGCAGCAGCCGGCACCGCCCCCCGGCCTCGAAGTCGACGGGGAGGTGCTGGCCCACCCTGCCCAGACTTTGGATCAGAAGGCGTTGGCTTTCAAGAGGCTTTGGGCACCCAGAGCTCCAGACCTCGGGGAAATGCGCGCAGTTTTTCGCCTCGTCCGCGAGGAAGCCCAATGGGGCCCCTTGCCGGCATTTTCATTCGAGCAGGTGCATCGGAGCGCGGGGGCTATGAAAGCCAAAGCTGGACTTGGAGTGGACATGATGAGCCCTGCTGATATTCAAAGATTACCCTGTGTTGCGATCCAAGAGTTGGTGCTTCTGCTTCATAGTGTTGAGCGGGTTCTGGCATGGCCAGTCCAAGTGCTCCTTGTGGCGGGGCACCTCGCACCGAAGAGGTCGAGTGAAGACTGCGCCATTGGGGCCATCCCAATGTTGGCCAGGGCGTGGCCCCACATCCGCGAACCTATGGTTCGCCGATGGTCGGCTGAGGAGGCCCAGGCGCGGGATGCGGCTGTTGCTGGCAACTCGCGCCTCAAGGAGGCGTACCTTCGGGCTGTCGAAGAGGAGCTGGCGTGCACGATGGGGTTGCAGTTCTGCCATGGGCCACTGGATGTACAGGAGTTCTACGACGCGATCCCGTGGCTGCAGCTGGGCAAGGCGGCGTTTAGATTGCACTTTCCGCCAGTCATCCTCTACCTCGAGCTGGTGATGTGTGTGGCGACGCGTACCCTTTCACCAGAAGGTGCGGTTTCGTTTCCGTTCGAGCCGTGCCAAAGCGCGGTACAAGGGTTGATCAGGGACTCGGTTTGCCAAAGTGTTAACGCATATTTTGTTACGAAAGCAGTGGCGACGGCGACTCCCATGATGGCCCACAGAGTTTTGGATAGATGATCTATCACATAGGACGACCGGCTCACGACAGGCTGCCAGGACGAACCTTGTCAAGAGCGTGGTCAAAACTGGGCGCGAGTTGAGTAAGGTCGGTTCAAAGACTGCAAAGAAAGCAATGATCAGGTGTTCCTCGATACAAAGCGCACGCGATGTTGCCAAAGCTATTGCACTTAAAGGGTTTGTGGCGAAAGTGGCTCAGCAAACAGCATATCTTGGAGTGGGTTTGTCTTGCGGACGCGGCGGCCGAGCAACTCGCACCCAGAGGCAGGAACAGCACAAACGTATGAAAACAAAAAACAAGATTGTTCATTACTGTCGCGCCGGGCGACGGTACCAACACCTCTCTAAACTAGAGATAAATGGAGGCCACCCCGCGGGCACTCATGGGTTTTAACTCCACGGCACTTTTGGTGAGCAGTTGAAGATTTGCCACCACGGGCTGGGAGAAACGTGTGCAAGTGGAGTTCGTGGTCGCTGTTTGACCACCTGACTGGATATGAGAGCGCCGCCCTGTGACCCTGGAGTGGCATACCCAGTGCGGTGCATCGATGCGTTGTTGGGCACGTGGCAGTCTCAGTCCGACCTGAGGAAGAGCATCAACTACGCGTGGCCACGGATAGTGACTGAGTTGCGCAGCAGGCCCTCGACATAACAAGTGCGAGCCGTCAAGGGGCCAATTTCGGCAACCACCTTGGCGCTCCTCAGGCTCGAGCGGGGCCCTGCCAGCACTTCGACGTGGTCGTGCACGTCTCATCACAACGCGACAGAGGAGCGGCAGTTCCCCGACGAGATCTACACGGGCGAAAAGTGGCTTGATAATCATCGAGGACTGCTCGCTGATGCGAGCGAGGAAGCCTGCGGAGCTCATCCAGTGGCGCCAGGCTGCTGAACACTACTGCGGTGGAGAGATGGAGGACGGCGGGGGTAATGAGTCATTCCGTTTCTTACTGCATCAAGTCTCACAGCTTCCACGCGGCATGCGTCTGGCTGAGGTTCTGGCCAACATTGCCACTGGGGGCTTCTGGACAAAGAAGAGGAAGTTCGACGAGCCCAAGAGATATCGCGGCAATGATGTGTGACCGCTGCCGAGAACAACCAGAGACACCCTGTCACCGAGCTTGGAGTTTTCTAAGAACACGCCCCCCCCCCCCCCCCCCGCACTCGGCATCGGAGGAGCTTGTGCCCCAGGCGCTGGCTCAAGTCAACATGGTGGAGCGCTTCTGGCTGGGGGGGGGTCACCCCGTCTCGATGGCTGGGGGCGCCGAGGCCGCCGCACGACAACCAGTGGGAATTCGTCGGGGTCAATGAGCTGACCGGCAGCGGATCGGCAGCAGCGCCGATCTAGATCTTCGGGGGCGCAAGAGGAGGACCAGGCTCGGCCTCGACAAGGCTGATGAGGCTCGGTGTTGCCATTGTTTGTACTGAGACGATCATACCAGAGCTGCGGATCACTGGCGCGGCCTTTGGCCCGCTCCAGGGCGACCGCCAGGCGGTGCCGCGAGGAGAATTGGTGGCACTATTTCTAGCATTATGGACAGCAACCCGATTTCTAACATATACCACTGACTGCGAGGCTGTGGCACAGGGCTGGTATGAGAAAAGGTTTGAACAACCATCAGGTATCGGCGCGGGTTTGTGGCATAAGATTGGGATTATCATGCAGGGTAGTGAGTTTTGTGATGTTGTGGTCCTGTGGGCAAATTCACACCTGGGGCCCGAGGAGATTCTCGACGGCAAAGGTATTCGCACGCGTGTCATCGGCAATGCGTTTGCCGACGAGTTCGCGGGCTTTGCCGCGGAGGGGCTCGTATCCCGCAGGCCATCCGCACACGCGCGTTGTGTCATGAGCGGCGTGCATTCCTGGTGCGCATGAGATTGTTGAGAGCTTCACTGGGCTGCACGCAGGCCACCCAAGAGGCCGAGCGTGAGGAGAAGCGGGGGTCTCGTGAGGCCCCATTGGGCCCGCCTCCCTCCATTCCTCCTCATCCCGTGCCTACCGCCGCGGCAGCTGCCCCCCAATCCCATCACCGTCTGGCAGACTGCCAGAGGAAATGCCTCGATGTTTTAGCTCGGCTTCCGCCGCCACTGTAATGGAGTCCTGGGCGTCTGAGTGCACCCCCTTGTGCAATGTCAATGGGGCCGCCTTCTCTCCAAGTAAGGGGCGAGGGCGCATCTAGCAGGGGGCTGGGCTCACACTACACACACCTTGAATGTACATACGTCCCTTCAGGTTTGGTTTTGTAGTGTGTGTGGGACCGTCGCCGATAAGGCGATATGCTCACTGAAGGCACCATGGGAGCTTAGATTGTCTAAGTACGGAAGGGGATAGCTGGACAGGCTCCTCAGGGGGTCACAGCTCAAGGTCCTGAGTCGAGCCGAGCTGTCGGCTCGCTCGAATGTCCCACCCAGGTCAGGCTAGGCTAAACTGAACTTGCATCGCAACGGGGCGCACTCCACTCCACTCCACTCCACTCCACTCCACTCCACTCCACTCCACTCCACTCCACTCCTCCTCCTCTTCCTCCTCCTCCTCCTCCTCCTCCTCCTCCTCCTCCTCCCCCCGTCCTTCTCCTCCTCCTCCCCCTCCTCCTCCTCCTCCTCCTCCCCCTCCTCCTCTTCATTTTCCTCCTTCTCGTTGGGGTGGTTGTGAGTTGCCTTGCCATGAAGGTGCCGTTTCTAGGCCGTTTCTAGCAGATGGTTTGCTGGGCGGGGCAGCGCGATGGAGGTGAAAGGGTTGTGTCCCGCCCTGATCCCTCTCTTTCTCTCTCTCTCTCGTTTCAGCTTTCCTTCGAAGGCTGGAAGTGTTACGTCAGTGTACCAGACTCACTCTCTCCTTCTGGGTATATTCCCCGCCCCTTCCTCATTCCTTGTTCGTTTTCTTGTGGCCTATGCTGATCAGTTGCTGATTGGGAAAAGGGTCGAAAGTGAGGTCTCAACTTCGCTTCCATTTCTTGGCGCCCATGCTGCATCCATGTCTAGTGGCGTGACCCTCGTCCAGTGCACCTGTTTTCAGCAGCGGCTATAGTGCCGCATGCCTCTGCCTGGCTATAGTGCCTGTTATCAGACGTGCAATCCAACAAGTCATCATCCTTCCCTCACCTCCTCCTCCATTCCTTCTCCTTATAGATAACTCTTCCCTGCCGCACCCCGAGGCAAGTTTTTTAGGGCGGGCCGGGCGTTTCGCCTGAGCCTTCCTCACCACTTATGACCCTGAAGCTTAAACATTGGCAACAGCTTCGCAGATGAAGGGCGGGCCGTTTTCAAAATGTGGCTCCCGCCTTAGCGCCGCGCATCTTCGTTTTCACCATTTGCAAGAGCTTTACGGATCGAAGGCGGGTCGTTTTCAAAATAAGGTTTTCGTTTTGGCGCCGCTCACATTAGTTTTAAACATTTGCCAGAATTTCACGGATTGAGGGTGGGTGGTTTTCAAAACATGGTTCTCGCATCAGCGCCGCGCATATTCGTTTCAAACATGTGCAAGAGCTTCACGGATTGAGGGCGGGTTGATTTCAAAATGTGGCTATCGCCTTAGCGCCGAGCACCTTCACTCTAAACATTTGCAACAATTTCACAGATGGTGGGTGTGTCGTTTTCAAAATGTGGCTCTCGCCTTAGCGCCGCGCACATTCGTTTTCAAACGTTGCATGTGTTTCACGGGTTGAAGGCGGTTTCTTATCAAAATGCGGTTCTCGCCTTAGCGCCGTGCATTTTCTTGATACAGAATACAAGAGTTGGACGGATTCCCATGATCGGCGTAGCAGAAACAGTGGAAAGGATTCACGATTTTGAAGGCGCAACAGTTACGATGATTCTCGGAATTGAGGTCCCAGGAATGGCGTTCTGGCGCGATTCGGGATCGCCAAGGCGCAACAGTCAGGTTCATCCGTGGCGTTTGAATACAGAGAAGAATGTTTTGGCATGCTTCGGGGTCTTCAAACGGTTGTCTTCCATAAAGGCAGGTCTTTCTGTGGAAGTGAGCCGTTGTAGGGGCATATGGAGAAAGGGCTTGGGGCGGGGTATCCCAACATCGTCGGTGACTATTGGGTTTACACTGGTTTTCCTCCTCCTCCTCCTCCTCCCTCTACGACCCCCCGCGAGCGCGGAAGAAGGCGAGGGGCGGGTAACGGAGGAGGGCGGAGGTGGAAGAGGACGTGGATCGGGCGGGCTGCGAGGAAGGCGACGAGGACGGCAGCGGTGGCGACCACCACCGAGGCCACGACGGCCACGACGACCACGACGACCACGACATCGACGGCCACGGCGACCACCAAGACCACCACGACGACGACCACGACGCCCACGACGACCACCACGACGCCGATTTGAAGACCACGAGGGCGACCACGACGACCACCACGACGCCGACCATGACGACCACGGCCAAGAGGACCGCGCCGACCGACGACCGCCTGCGCCATTCGGCGCCCCTCCTCCGGAAGGCGAGGGCTCCCCGCCGGCCGCCCCGTCGCCCAGCAGCCCGGCAGGCGGCCGCCGCCCTCTCGCCAGTCGCTCGTCGCTCGTCCCCCAAACATCCTCGCGCCGTGAACAGAAAAGCTTGCGATTGATCGGTGGCTCCTTGGATCCAAGTTGCTGGGGTGGATTCGTGGACAAAAATGCGACGGGATCTCTCTAGAAAAAGAAATCCCAATCTATATAAACAGAAGACTTTCCGGCCCGCCCACCCTGCAGACCGCGGCCGCCAGATCCTTAGGTCCACCGAGAGTCACCCAAGATTTCCGCCTCGCGCCGACCCGCCCATTCTGCATACCACGGTCCCCATATTCCCAGGTCCACCGAGAACCCCTCGAGACTCACGCCTTACCCCTTCGACGAGCACGACAGAACCTGACATAACATAGCACAACGCACATAACACAACACAGCATATCACACTAAACATCATAAGGAAATTCAACATATGGTAAACCATAATCAAATAGCCGATCATTCCACATCAGGACAACGCATACCATGACAAAGCACCTCAGCACACGCTATGAACCAGTAGAAGTTGCCAGATCATAATACAATAACCGAAGCGACCATACCATGACATAGTATAGCATATCACGACAACCATGGCACAGTATAACTATGCATGCAATGACAGAGCGGCGCATACAGAACGTAGCGCACCAGCACACATCGCATCAACACATAACATACCGTTATATAACACACCATACCGCGGCCTGACATAACATGACAGCAGAAACCATCATGCCGCATAACATCGCATGCGATGACAGAGCGGAACATACATACTATAGCATGGCACCGCTCGTCGCAGCATACGAGAATATAGCATCACGTTCCATACCATAGCAGACCGCATCATTGCATGACGTACCATTGAATAGCGAAAATTCCATATCGTTGCATCACACACCATCCCATTCCGATGTCATGATAAAGCATGACCCCGACCGAACGAGGTATACCAAACATTGGAAGAATAGCACCTAGCATTGCATACTACCACCTCGGAACACGGCACGCTTCAACATACCATGACAATCCTGACTGCCACATAACACAGCGCAGCAACACGTGTAATGACAAAGTGGACATACCGACTAGAACGGACTACATCATATCACACTATAGAGTCATCGAACACATAATCAGCGAAGAGAGCATATTATACTATAACCTGGCATAACAGTTCAGCGCAACACACACACCATCACAGGACATATCATTTCATGCCATAACTCATCCAACTAACACCACATATCATAACTTCACATAGCATGCCATCTCATGCCATGGTGGCAGTGATCATGCCATGACACAGCATCAATCACATCGTAACATACCAACTCATGTCATGACACAGCTGGTCAGAATCGAGAATATCATTACTGTCTATAGCAAGTTATACCATATGTGTGTACCCTTGCTACCACGATGGCAGCGAATGCAGTGTACCATCCTGAGATGTTAAATTATGGCAGTCGAAACCAATGACACAACATAACATAGCAGCATGTGGTGTACATTTCAAGGCGTGACCATCATAGCATCACGGAGTTGTTCTATTCTTGGTGCCAACATTGCAACAGTTTCGCTCTAATTTTATCGATTCGACTTTCGTTGAAGAGGCATGTCGTGACAACATGGTGCCATAGAGACACACGTAAGATGGCACAACAAAGCATATTGCAACAGAGGTGAGCATACTAGAGCACATATGGTACGAATGACGCATACGTGACGATACATCTCATACTATAACATGCGATGCTCTCTTTCTATTGATATATATATATATATATATATATATGTATATGTATATATACACACTCAAACGCGACAATCGCGCCAAGGTCAGGCTGACCACAGGAGCCAACCGGCCCAGCAACGCAGATTGCACGACGTGTCTGACGTGGCAGGCGCTCACGGCTTCACGCCGGCCCGTCCAGATCAGAACCTTACATAGCATGATATTATGTCCTACTTTGGGCCAGTTCCAATCGAAGAGAATGTAGCTTCCTCCTCCTACTCCTCATCCCGCCCCTTCAACAGGTTGCAGACGCGCTCCGAGCATGTTTGGGGGTCTCGCTCACACCACGTTTTTGGGGGGTTTGTGCTTTTGCCTCAGGTCTTGTTTCGGCTAATTTTGACAGGGGGGTCCTCCTTCGACCACCTCCTCATGTCTCCTGACTCTTCATCGTCATTAATATTAGCTTCCCCAGTATTTGGATCAGCGATTTCACAGGCCAACGTTATTATCTCCCTACTCCGCGCAGGCGCTTTCAAAGCACTGCGATGTGAACGGCCATCTACCCCCCCTCCTCCTCCTCGTTCTCGTCCTTCCCCGTTCTTGCTTTCCTCCCCCTCAGATGACGTGGAGGAGGACAGAATGATGCAGTGACGAAGGGGGGGAGGAAGGAGAGGAGCGGAAACGGGGTGAGAGGAACATGATGATGAGGAGGAGGAGGAGGAGGAGGAGGACAGATTCCGCCTCTGGCAACCTCTGGAGGCTCCACAAAGGCCAGGCACAACAAACAGCAATTGTTGACGCTTCGCGTATCCCCACCAGCCCATCCAGAAACGATGCTCAGGGGAGTTGAGGTGATCAGGGAAGTCGGGGAGCATGCAGAATAACAAAGGGCGGGGGAAGCTGTCACAGACCCCGAGAGGGGGAGGATGGAAGAGGAGTCGTCGTCGTCGTCGTCGTCGTCGGAGGAGGAGGAGGAGGAGGGGGAAGAGGAGGAGGAGGAGGAGGAGGAGGAGGACGGAGAAGGAGGAAGAATAGGAGGAGGAGGAGGAGGAGGAGCTTTCTTGGGGGTCTTTTGAGGGCCTCTTGGAGGGCTTTTTGGGCGCCTTGGGGCATCTTGGGCGCCTCTTGGGACCCTCTTGAGGCGCTCTGGGGAGCCTTCGGGGCGCTTTTGGGGCCATCTTGGAGGGAGTCGATCAAACAAGAGGGGGGGTTTAATTAGCGCCCCCCCTCGGAAGCCCCTAAAATCGCCTCTTGGACCCCTCTTGGAACGCTCTTGGAGTGCTCTTGGGCGCTCTTGGGGCCGTCTTGGGGCTCTTTTGGGGCTCTCTTGGGGCCCTCTTGGGCCATCTTGGAGCCATCTCCAGGCCTCGGATGGCCATCGGAAGCGAAAAGGCGAGAAAGCAAAAATCATTGATTTTCCTTAGGTTTTGGGACGATTTTGGCCTCTTCGGGGCCTCCTTGGGGAGCTGTTTGGCCACTTGGAGTTATCTTGGGGCCGTCTTTGGGCTTCTTGGAACCATCTTAGGAGCCATCGTGAGCGATCTTGCGCTATCTTGAGCCATCTTGGAGCTCATCTTGGGTTCTCTGAGGCGCTCTTGGAGCCGTCTTGGGCCATCTTGGACGCTCTAACTACCCGCGGCCCCCCCCGTCCAGGTCCAGGGGAGGGGGTAGGGGGAGGGGTAAACCCCCCCCCAAGGGGGAAGAGGGAGGGGTGGAAGAGGATCTGTTCTAGACCACCTACGCCCAGAGGGCTGGTGGGATTCTCGATCCTCTGGCATCGTCGTACTCTTCGTCCTCGTAGTCGGCTGCGGCGGCGTCGCCATGGGAGTTGGTGTTCATCAGCGTCGACCGGCGATCGGCGTCTGCGTCGTCATCAACCTCGTCACCGTGGTCGTAGCAGTCGCGGTTTCCGTCGTCGTCGTTGTCGTCGTCGTCGTCGCCGCCGCCGCTGCCTTCGTCGTCGTCGTCGCCGAAGATGCAGGAGGGGCAGCGACAACGGCGACGGCTGCGGCGGCGACGATACGACCTTTGTTTTGTTTGTTCTGGCTGATGGGCCTGTTTTCCACCACCACCACCACCACCACCACCACCACCACCACCACCACCACCACCATAGGTTGGAGTGGGAGTGGGTCCTCCTCCTCCTCCTCCTCCTTCTCCTCCTCCTTCTCCTCCTCCTCGTCCTCCACCTCCTTCCCTCCTCCAATTTATGGTGGTGGTGGTGGAAAACAGGCCCATCACTGGCGGTTAGGAACTTCTCGTCGCCACGTCTGGACGCAGCTCAGGAACCCCGAAAGGACGGAGACCCCGCAGCTCGGGAAACCCCGACATTGAGCGGACTTCTGGCGGACGCCGACGGCGACGGCGACGGCTGCAACGTCGTTGCCGTTGGCGACGGGGTCGTCGGCGAGGGCGTTGACGGCGTCGGCGTCGTCGGCGTGGTCGGCATCGGTGGCAGCGACGACGGCGTCGGCCTCGTCGGCAGCGTCGGTGTTTGTGGCGGCGTCGGCGTCGGCGGCATCCGCGTCGTCGGCGGCGTTGGCTGCGTCGGCAGCGTCGGCTGCGTCGGCAGCGTCGGCGCTGGAGGCGAAAGAGGATCGAGGATGTGGAGGACGGATCGGGGAGGAGGAGGAGGAGGAGGAGGAGGAGGAGGAAGGATCGAGGAGGAGGGGGAGGGGGAGGGGGAGGAGGAGGAGGAGGAGGAAGGATCGAGGAGAAGGAGGAAGGATCGAGGAGGAGGAGGAATGATCGAGGATGTGGAGGACGGATCGGGGAGCAGGAGGAGGAGGAGGAGGAGGCATCTCCGTAGCCATTTTGGTTCAAGTCCGTAGCGGCGGCTCAGGACTTAGAGTTTTTTGTGGCATTGGGTATTGCGGCCCCACGCCCTCACCAGTTTCGTTACTGTGCGGGCATTGCCCGCTGTGTAACATTCCTCTTTTACGCTCACTGCCTACACCAGGCCGATGGTGCCCAGCCCTTTTTCGCGGGGTGGGGGTGCTTCTTCTGGCGGTGGTGGGTGGGCTGATCCTCCGTGGCGCCAGCAGGGTTCCGATGCTGTTGGCTCAAGCCAGGCCAAGGTGGTCTGCCCCACTTGTGGATGCAATCGTAACCTTCCGTATTTCAAGTGGTGCAAGCATCCCTATTCGCCCCTTCCGCGTTTACGTGACGCCGTTGCCCAACCTGCTGGAGGTGTCTGGGGCGATTCGGATTCATCAAATTGGGGCAGTTCCGACGAGAACGTTCGCTACATCTACAAGG